TTGCGGGAAATACTTTCCCCTAAGTTCTTTGTCTTTTAATTGGGGGGAGGGAAAGAGAGAAGTTTTAAAGCTGAATGAGATGGATCTATTGGTTCCTTCTGCTGCCTTCTCTTCAAAGCTTCTAAGTTTAGCGAGTCTTCCCTCTGTGCATATTTGATACATGTTCACCTCTATTTTCTCACTGCTGTCAATTTCATCTCCACAAAGCAGGCTCTGATTCGGTCACTCCCGGTCAGAATCGTCTAATGACCTCCCTGGAGCTGCCAGAATAAAGCCCAAAATCTTTAGCTTAGTGTTCAAGGCTTTTCACCACCCGACCTCAGCCTGCCTTTCTAGCTCCATCTTTATTCAGCCAAGGGGCAGCATTGACCTCTCCCTGGGCCCTGCTTTTTCTCATCCCCAAGCCTTCGTTCCTGCTGGTCCCACTGCATAAAATGCCTTCCCTCCACTTCTATAGATTTAAATCCTGCTTATTCTTCAAAACTAACCAGAAGGCTGATGGTTCAAACCCACCAGCCACTCCTTGGAAGGAAGACTGGGCAATCTACTTCATAGTGATACCGCCTTGGAAACCGAAGGAAAGGTCACTCTGAGTTGAATCTGATTTGAAGGCAGTGAGTTTGGTTTTATTATTATTACTATTATTATTATTCAAAGGAGCTCTGGTGATGCAGTGGTTAAGGCATACGGCTGCTAACCCAAAGGTCAGTGGTTCAAACCCACCAGTCATGCTTCAGGAGAAAGATGAGGCAGTCTGCTTTCTAAAAGATTTGCAGCCTTGGAAACCCTATGGGGCAGTTCTACCCTGTCCTATAGGGTCACTATGAGTGGGAATCAACTCAGTGGTAATGGTTTGAGTTTTGGTCATTCTTCAAGCCCCATTTTCTCTGGAAAGTCTCACCTCACGCTCCATCCTGAGAGGCTGGGTGGTGGGGGATGAGAACAGCGACTTTGTAGTTGGACAAATCTGGGTTGAAATCCTAGTTGCTTCACTTGTCAGCTGTTGGCCCAGTCTTCAGCCTTCCCAAGCCTCAGTTCCCTCATCTTTAAAACGGGAGCAGAAAGCAAAGAAGGTGCATGTTTGAGGGCTGTGAGGGTGAGCTTGTCGGATAAGCTGTGTCAGGTCCCACCCACCCTGCATTCCAGGATATTGGGGCAGAGTTACCAGCTCATTGTCCAGATGTCACCAGTCATGTCTGTCCCTGAAGGCTCACCACTTCACTGTCCAGATGTCCCCACTCATGTCTGTCCCCAAAGCTGGTTTACACATTCCATTAGATGCTGAACTTTCCTGCTAGGGAGATAGATGCAGGCAAACAGGTTCCACTTCTAGCAATCCAGCCCTAGCCCCCAGGCACCTTGGTGGATTCCCACACCAATCTGGGCCTAAGGGAATCCCTCCCTCCCTAAGTTCCTTTATTTGCGCTCCAATGGCTTGTTGTTGTTGTTGTTGTTGTGTGCCATCAGGTCAGATCACCTCATAGTGACCCCTCTTTGGATTTCCGAGGCAGTATCACTACAGAAGTAGATTGCTCAACCTTCCTTCCGAAGAGTGGCTGGTGGGTTTGAACTGCCAGCCTTCTGGTTAGCAGTCAAGCGTCTTAGACACTATGCTACCAATGGCTTAGCTCCTAGAAAATGGAAAATGTTTAAGTCTCCTAAGTGGTCCACCAATGGCCCCTTATCAACTAGTTAGTTACCCTGAGGTACAGTTCTTAAGGGAAAGACAAAACAAAATGTTTAGGTTTTTTCCCCTTTGTTTACTAGTTTTCCAAGGCGCTTTGGTAGTACAGTGGTTAAAGCATTCAGCTGCTAACCAAAAGGTCAGCCGTTTAAACCCATCAAAGCAGAAAGATGTGGCAATCTGCTTCTGTAAAAATTACCCACTGCCATCAGGTTGATTTTGACCCAACGACACTCTAGGACGGAGTAGAACTGCCCCATAGGGTTTCCAAGGCTGTACATTTCTACAGAAGCAGACTGCCTTATCTTTCTCCCATAGCGCAGCTAGTGGTTTCAAACTGCCAACCTTTTGATTAACAGCCTGGTACCACAGAGCTCTTCCCATAAAGATTACAGCTAGCAAACCTTAAAGGGCAGCTCTACTCTGTTACACGGGGTTGCTACGAGCTGGATTCAACTGAATTGCGTCCAACAACAAAATGAGGCTCAAACCATCTTCCATACAGTTGGGTCTAGAACTGTGTGTCTTCCTCAACCACAGAAAGGCTTTCTTAAGGGGCTCCATGTGGCCTGGGGAGCTGTAGGGGAGCTCTGGTCTCTGACCAGGCATCCTGGTTCTCAGGGCTGCCACTCCTCCTCCAGCCTCTTGGAGGCTGGAGGGTCAGGGTCTGTGTCTTCTCTGTGAACTTAGAGCCTGGCACTTGAGGACTCTAAGTTTTGCCTTGTTGTTTGGGGAAAAGCAAGGAGGGCGGCTCCCTGGCTGGGGTATATGTGTCCCTGGGGCTGGGAGTGAGGGCGAGGACTTCCTAGATAGTAAGAAGAGCAAGCTTAACGTCAGGAGTCCTGGGTTCGAGCCCAGGCATCCCCTGGGGCATGCGCCTGCCCACTCCAGATCCCAGTTGTCTGGGGGTGTCGGGGGGGTGGTAGAACAGTCTGGTAGGCTCTTAGCATTCTCAAAGCACTCTTCTGGCCCCACCCCTCCCCAACCCAGAGGATTTGGGGGCCTGACTTCACCGAATTGTTCTGACCAAATCCCTCACACCATTTGGCTGCCCACATCCCCTGTCCCGCCCTTCCCTGAGGGTTCTGGGACTGACGCCAGCTCCCCACCGAGGGGTCTCAGTCAGGCCTGGGGTGAGGGTGGGGTTCTCCAGGACTGTGTTTGACCTCCTGAGCCCTCCCCCTCCTCCCTCCCCAGAGCCAGCATCCCCTCCTCCCTCCCTCCTGAAATCTGAGCTCAGGGATCCAGGGAAAACTCAGCTGCAAAACATTCCATCCGGTTGTCCAAACACTGCACAGCTGGCGGAGGGAGGGACAGCCAGAGCCTGGCTTTCGGGGAGCCCCCAGGCTGTTGTTTCCATAAAAGTGAGGGGGGAGCCCTCACTGCATGAGTCAGCCCCTGGCTGCCTGAAGGGAGTCCACAGAGCTGAAGGGACACCCCAAAAGAGACACACACACACACACACACACACACAAATGTACGTGCGTGCCTGGGCCTGGCCTGGGAGGGACCCTCCGCCGCCTCAGGGTCTGCGGGGCCAGGTGCTCACGGCGGCCTCTCGCCTCTCGTCTGCAGCCCGGAGGTGGCTGGGCTGGGCGGCCTGTGAGCTTTGCCTCGTGACTGGGTTCCACTGCTCCAGCGGCTGGGGTGGGGGTGGGGGGCAGGAATGACTGGGGATAGCCAGCCCAGGAGGTGACTTCCGGGCAGCAGTTCTTACTGGCAAGTAGTCCCAGACCTGGCTGTCTCTTAGCTCCAACTCAGCGGTGACCCCAGACAACTCTCCCAGCCTCCGTTTCCACATCTGCAACAGGATAAAGTTGGGGGCCTCACAGCCACAGTCCCCACGGTCCCCATCGAGCCTGGGCTATGTCTGTATGTCCAGAAGGTAGCAAGTATGTCTACACAGTCCCCAGAGTGGCTCTTGACTCAGTTTCCCTCTGAGGGGTTGTCTGGGGCTCGACTCCCCTACATATTACCACCAGCCAGGTTGGGCCCCTTCCCCTCCTGCCCTGTCGGGGTGACGAGGGGACCTGCCCCCCTTTTCACACATCCTGTTTTCCTTTAATCGTTTCCAGGTGGGCCCAGAGGTTGCCAGGCAGAGGAAGGTAGGGGCACGGGAGAATTTAGTAGGGGGTTCAGCAAGGAGCAAAAACAGGAAGGGGGTGGGAGCAAGCCATGGGAAATCCACTGCCAGGAAAAGGAGGCCGTATCTGGTTTGCATTAGGCTCAGAGAACTCGGAAGCCGAGTGGTGAGACTGTAATCCTCAGGCAGGGCTGCAGCGAGGGCGAGAAGCACCGGGCCGTCACCAAATCGTGCCCCCCCAAACTCCAGCACATGGGGCAATCTCTAAATTGCACCTTCTCCCAATATGAAAACAAATGGGCCTTGATAGCAGGAACTGTCACCAGAAACACCTTTCCCTCCTCTTGTCCGGCTGTCTCAGTCAAACGCCTTTCATATTTCTGGTGACCTAGAATGTCACTCCGTGTCTCCTCTGGTGCCCCCTTGGATGCGCCCAGGGGGCAAGTGTCCCCCTCTGTCCCCACCCCACTCTACACCTCTGGATGTCACCCTTGCCTGAGGAAGGCTGTTGCACCTTACCAGGTTAATGGAAACTGCTCAGTGGTACCCCCTCTTCAGGGGACGCCCGGGCACAGGCCATACCTGCTGTTGACCGTAGGACGGGTGGGTTGTAAGGCTGAGTAGGGAGCTGGCAGCTTCCTCCCAGCTGGGATTCCGAGGCTGAGGAGGAAAGAAGAGGTAGGCAAGAGAGAAAGGAACAGGAAACCTGCACTGTGGCTGACAATTAGCAAAGGGTATCTTCTTTGATCATCATGACTTCACAGGGAACAATTGTTCTCATTTCATAGATGAGGGAATTTAGTCTCAGACAGGTTAAGGGGCTTTCCCAAGGCCACACAGCCAGCTAGTGATAGGGCCAGAGTCACAGGCTTTTTCCAACTTGCCGTCCTATGTGGGGAGGGGACAAGCGTTTCCATTGACAGGCCTGGTGGAAGCCTGGACCTCAGGCATAGAGAGGAAAGCTTCAACCAGTCCTGGGGTGTTTCCCCTTCCTGGGCCCAGAGCCAGGGTAGGAGGCCCCCAGTGTCATCTGCTGCCCGCTGAACCACGGGAGTTAATAATTATGGGGTTGCAGGAGATAGAGGCCTGTCTGGGAGGTACCTCCCTCCTAGCTCCCTGCTCCTCTGAGATAGCAAAGGTTAGTATGAAGCTTAACCTGGGGGCAGGGAGAAAGCTCCTGTCACCTGCCCGCTGAGCCATCTCCAGAGGAACCCTTGGCCTGGCCCCCCAGACATGGACAGCCTGGAGGAGCCTACTGGGTGCCCCGCCCGAGGAAGGTGTCCTGTGTTCCTGGCCATGAGCTCAGGGACCGTCTGCTACTCCCCATCAGGCATGTGCCCTGCATTTGAAGGGAACTTGAGAGAGGAGCCCTGGGACACAGACAGGTGAGCCAGGGACCTGGGATGTGGAGGGGAGAGGGTTTTGCACTCTGCAGAAGAGTTTGGGGAGGGGATGTTGAGAAGCTGGGTTCTAGGCAGCAGGGATGGGGAACGCAGGGGACCATAAAGAGCGTCAGGAGCCTCTGACAAGGTCCGCACCAGGAATGGCTCCAACCGTTTTGTCCAGCTGGGTGGTTGTACGGAGGTGGAGACTGAGGCTCAGAGGGGGCAAGACACTCACCCTGAGACACAGAGTGAGCTGAGAACTGACCTAAGTCTGGAATCAAGGCCTGGGTCATCTAGGCTAGCTGTCTCCTGTCTTCATCTGCCTCCAGCCAAGAGTCTGTGGCCAGAGCTGCCAGGCTGGGGTCAGAGGTGGGGGAAGTGAGGGTTTGGCTGGAGCGAGGCAGTGGCTCCTGGGCACAGGACACACCGTTCACTTGTCCCTCCGTTACTCCCACCAGGCACCTAGCAGGCACTCAGTAACCCCCTTGTTGCCAGAACGCACATAACTGCAGCTTCCAGGGAGCCCTCTTATTTCTAGGGTGTCTTTTTGGAGCTCTGGTATATGAGCTCCGTCACTGGCTGTGTGCCATAAGGCAGGCTCCTTAACTCCTCTGAGCCCACCCTTTTCAGTTGAGGAGCAGGGGTCTTTGGGCTGCTGGTAGAAGCCATGGTAACTGGATGCAGAGATGACAGCATTTTTGTGGTCAGTCCTTGGAGTGTCAATGCGTCCGGGACAGACACTTGTCCTTTGAGACCTCCCCAGGCTGGGTGTCCCCAGGCCAGGCCTCCACAGACTCTTCGCCTGGGCTGACACCTCCTGTACCCCTTATCTTCACTGGTCTGGTTACCATGACTTGGGGCAGGTCTTATCTCCTGCCCAGGAGGGCGAGGGCCATGCACTGGACTCCTTCACTCATCTTCTCTTCCTTTCCCTAAGGCGTGCACAGAGTAAGGGGCAAGAAAACAGTAGTTGCTCAAGACTTACTTGGGAAGGATTCAAGTCAACAAACATAGGGTCAGGACACCTGCTCTGGGCTGGACCTTGTGCTAGACTAGGGGCAGGTGGGGAACACGGAGCCGAGAAGGAGCTGGTCCCTGTCCACAGAAAGCCACAATCATGGAAAACAGTTGCCCTGCAGAGTGAAGAGCATGAGAGGCCTAAGCTGAACGATTTTGCGAAGCCAGAAGGGAGGCCATGGAGGGCTGCTCAGGTGGTTTACTGTACAAGGTGCTGACCGAGGGAGTAAGCAGGGCCTGCAGCCCAGCTGCCCTCCACTCGCCAAGCCCAGCCCCTTGGCATGGGCTGTGCTCACCTGGGGATGAACAGCGTTTCCTAGTTTAACAGACACCATTCACTTGCCAAGGTGTGGCTGGACATGGGGGTCCTTGGGAGTGCATCCCCATCTTCCCACCAGAATGGAGCCTCAGGAGGGCAAGGTCTGTGTCTCTGTAGTGTCCCTCCGCATCCACAGTCCTTGCGTGGCCCACAGTTTGCGGTCAGGAAGTGGTGGCCAGATGGAGGAATGAATGAAACGTATCCTCAGGAGACCTGCCAACTCAAGCCTGGAGCCCCTGAGTCTGTGGAACTGGGAGTGGAACCCCCAGAGTTCTGGTGACATCAGGAAGGGAGGGGCCCCCTCCTTCCGCCAAGTAGCTCCCCAGACACTGAGGCGGGGAGCGGCGGCTCTACGATCTAACTGGATCCGGCCCAGCCTGGAGGGGGAGGCTAATGGTCAGAGCTTGGAGTGGAGGGACAGAGGATCTGAGGGACAGGTAGACCGGTCATCTGCAGGTTCAGGGAAAGAATGTGGGACCAGATAGGTGTGTGTCTGTGAGGTGCATTCTAGAGAGAGGGGATGATGGGTAAACTTAGGGGTGAACAAGTGTGCCGAGAGGCAGGAGGCTGGGGGGGAAGCTTGAGTTAAAGGTGATTGTTCCCTCAGAGAAGCCTTCAGTGGGGAGGATGGAACACACTTGTTTTGTGGTCAGTCCTCTCCCCACAACCTCAGACAGGCTGTTACATAGGACCAGGCATAGAGCAGGGAGTCCTGGGAAGGAGTGCGTGGCAGGAGGCAGGAGGGCCGGGCGGGGTGGGAGGGTATTTGCTGGCCTTGAATGACAATCCTGCCAAGATCAGGGAGCCCGAGAGCCATTGCAGGTTCTCCAGCAGGGGTGGCGGGTGTGGGGAGGGGAGCTCTGTCCTGGGGCAGAGTAAGAGTATAATGCATTTAGCTGGGAGAGTCCGACCCGCGTTGGCCGTGGGGTGAGTGGGTGAGGGGGTGCACCGAGGGGACCCTTGCACCGTCCAGGGGCGGGAGGCCAGTCGGGCGGAGCCCGGGAGCGCGCGTGAGCGCCCCGCGCCGGGCGGCGGGGGGGGGCGGGGCTGGG